TTAATATTCTCAGGTTCTTCAACAGTCCTGCCTCCCACTCTAACAGCTGAGAGATGATTCAACCTATTCATGGATTTAAGGGAGTCATGAAAAAATTTGGTATTAAGATCCCCATTTTGGAGCCAACTAACCCGGGATTTTTAGGATATCATGATTTCTTTGATCCGTATATTCTTCCATATTTCCTCCTGGTATCGCAATTTCTCTCTGTCCAGATCAGTAGATTGCAGATTAGACTCCTCATCTAATTCCAGTTCCAGCTTGTTGAACTTAGAGATATTATCCTCTATGTTTAAATCCAGCCAACCAAACACTTTGAGATTCCATATCCTAAGGTCTGATTTAAGAGCTTGAAATTTCTTAGAAAGGATGCTGCAGAAAGAACCTGTAAATTGGTAAGAGCGCCACAATTTCATAACGAACGGGATGAAATCCTTGTGGTAGAACCAACAGTTGAAAGTCCTAAAAGGTTTTGGTCCCCAATTGATGAAATTGGACTTCAACCACACCGGTCGATGATCCGATATGTCTCTATCCCCCGCCACTTGATTCTTCAGAGTAAACAAAGATATAACCCTATCATCAACCAAAACTCTATCCAGCCTACTTTTGTTCTTACCGTTAGAGTTGAACCAAGTGAAACAGCTTCCAAACACCGGTAGATCCACCAAATTCATTTCCTCAATGAAATCACATAACTCCTTTATATCCCTGCTGTTATAACCACTTAGGCCCTTCCTTTCCTCCCTATTTTTCACCGCATTAAAATCCCATCCCACGATCCAACCAACATCAGGGTAATTGTTCTTAATTTTAATCAAATCTCTCCAAAGCTTCCTCTTATCAGCTGATCCACAAGGAGCGTAAACGTTGATCACCATCAAGCTATGGTTATTCCAAACAAAGTTTAGACCTAAGAATCCTTTCCCATTAAAACTAAAACAAGCAGAGATTCTGACAGTATTCCACATGGTTAGAATTCCACCAGAGTTCTGAGCTGACCAATCCAAATCAAAATTCCTCCACATGCTGAAAACTATACCATCCTCCATCTTGATAACCTTGGTTTCCTGAATAAGGAAAATATCGGCATTTCCTCTCTGAATAATTTGAGTTAATCTCCTTCTCTTGATGGAACTACAACAACCTCTAACATTGAAAGAAATTAAATTCATGGATCAATTGTAGCTACATCCTTCTTGCCTAGACTAGCATCCTTATCTGCGTTATCCAAAATCCTCTGAGTTCGCCCAATAACTTCTTCATCTTTGCCCTGAATACCCAGAACTTTAAGAAAATCACCCAATTTAGATGGAACATCAACAATGGCCCTTCTGCATCTCGAGTTACCCCTCTTAACGTCAGTGTCGGTGATCGATTCGCAACATAATAGAGTTGAACTAGATTCAGAAGTTTCTTTAGACAACTTTTCTTCATACTATCCTCCCTAGTTTTCCCTTTTGACACAGGTCTAAGGTTCTCCTTGGGATCCGTGAGAAGAAGAGTGGGAAAATAAGAGGGGGTGTATGGTATTTTAATGCAATTATAAACCTCATGAAAATGTTTTTTCTTTTTAGCTTTACCTCTAACAGCAGGCCCAATAACTCCTCCTGAAGGCCCACTAATTGGATGAGGCAGGCCCAGGTCTACCACCAATTCCCCATCAAGACTGGGTACCTTGATAACTACTTTGGACTGATTAAGTTCTAGGTCAGCCAGAAAGTTATATGGTTCAGTTCCTTCTGAACTAAACAGAGCAGCTGAAACCTTATGATTTTTCCTTCTTAACCCATTACCTTGCACAGTAGACCCTAAGCTATCCCCAACAACTGATACAATGTCTGACACTGAGAAGTCACCATCTGCCTTTTGGACATCAGTATTGGGAGCTCTGGCTTTTGTCTCTGAGAACAAGGATTTGAGATCTTCACTTTCTTCCTCTTCAGGTATCTCCCACGCGCCCTCTGAGTCTGAAGGGTTTGAGGAGTCAAATTCATCTGAATCTATCACCTCATCTTCTTCACCAAACAAAGGGTCTCCACTCCCACACGAAAGGTCTTCTGTGATTGAAATTAAAAAGGTGTGATTGTTCACTTCAATGTCAACCAAGAAATTCAGAATAATCCTGAGTCTTCTTTTAATAAGAAATCTCGCTATGTCCAATTTCTCTTTGTTCCTCGTCTTCTCATCACATTTGACAAACGATCCCAGACTGGAAGAAATCTGCATGAAATTTTTCTCACTCCAGGCGACACAAGGTAGACCATAACAATATACCCACACCATCCTATCCCTGTCAATTTCCTCCATTTGCCACTTGCGGATGTCTCTGAACTAGATATCTAGCCATACTCTAGCTTCCTTGATAAAACCTTCTAAGTCTCCTCCTTATGTGTCTTCCAGCAAACACAATGAAGCTCCCAATGGAGTAACATTAATGTTAAAGTAACCTTCTTCAAAAATTAACTTCTGAATGTTGAAAATTTCCATCCTTCATGACTTCACCCACTCTCATACGATTCAACCTCCTTGACCATTCATCATCCAGCTCAAGTTTTGTGCATTGACCTCCTACCTTGGCCCTATCAATAAACTTAGGGTAATCTCCTCTTACCACTTTGGCAAAGGACCTAACCTGGATATTAGGTTTCAAGAAGTTCCTGGTACAACCAGTTTGGATGTTACTCCTCAAATTTTCACAATCAGGAAGGTGCTTTTTGTTCTTCTCACTAACAGGAAGATGCCTTTTGTTCTCTTTACTAAACATGGGTATATTGACGTAGATTTTTTTTGCCTTCCATGACAATGCTATCAAGGTTACAGGCCAGGATTCTTGGATCATGAACTTTCCGAAATTTGGCGAAACCGAATCTATTACCTCGCTTATCTCTCTTAGCAGAAATAAAAACTTCTGATATGACTCCATAGACCTTGAAGACCTCAAACAGATCTTTGGCATTCATGTTTTTAGAAAACTCAGTGACAAAAAATGAAGTTGTGATTTCACCAGAAGAAGCTCCTTTTCCTTTGTTCTTCTTCCAAACTGAAAAACTTCCGCTTCTAACCTTTCTACCGGAAACCCTTTCCCAACTCATGGTAACTCCACTGTCTCGATCCAAATAAAAACCAAAAAATTACCAAGGCCTCGAAAGCTATGAATTTAAGCCGAAGATAATCCCCTAATTTTCACTGAATCGAAGCCAGCAGCTTTGAATTGACGAAAATCTTAAAAAGAATCGCAGAAATTAGGTTTAGGGTTAAGGAATTGAAAATTTTACTGTAGCTGTTCTTCATAAACAGAAACGTTAATCATCAAAAATATCGTATAAAAAGATCATCTAACAATCTCATTTCTCATTAGTATAATTGTCTGTTAATAATTTCTTCTTCTATGTATACTAGCTTAAGAGAACTCTATTATTTAGAATATACGTTTTAAATTTAAAAAGGTGATTTTATGATCTTATTTACATAGCTGAATACATATATAGAAATATTTTATCAAGTCAATGAATAATAATTAATAATTTTATTTTATAGTGAAAATATGCAATATATCCTTATAAAAAATAATTTAAAATACAACATTATGAGAAAGGTTGTAGTAGATATATTTGTCATTGATATTTATAAATTAATAGTTTTAAAAAATTAATTTTATTTTATTTTACTCAATACTAACATTTTGTTTTTTATTATAAATATAAAAATATTAGAATTAATTTGAAGAAAAATAAAAATGATGGGTCAGATTTGTACGTGTATCTAAAATTATTAATATGTTTAGTAAAAGTGATTTAATTGAATTAATTAAAATTACTATTAAAAATTAAGTAATGAAATTTGAAATAATTGATTGTTGTAATAAATTTTCTAAAATAAAAAATAATAATTAGAATGTGTATTGAAAAAATAAAAGTGATTATATTCGCTTAATTTCAAAATTAATTGAAAAATAAAAATTAATACTTATTGTGATTTTAAAAAAATAACAATCAATATATTAAATGAGAGTGATTTTAAATGAGAGATGTGAGAAACAAACAACAACTATTAAATTAAATTATTAATAAGAAAGATAGATTGTATTTTAATAAGAGAGAGAAATTAATAAATACATTAATAAATAAGGTTAATCAAAACTTTTTAATTGGTCTAATAGTTATTGTTTATTCCTCTCATCTCTTATTTTAAATTTTTTCTCAATCGCACATTTAGTAATAATAGAATCTAAATCTGTTTTATTGTAGAATAGAGTAACCTTATTTTAAAAATTTTATATTTATTATTATAGATTTGCTTTGAAAAATAGAGTTAATTTAAAATATATGTTTTCTCCTTTGGAGGTATGTGACTTTTATACAAAGCTGTATGGGAGTCAAGCTCAGAGGGTGAATATGATTGATCTCAATGCTATGAGGGAGGGGCCACAGCTAACTATGTTGCAGAGAGCTGATCTCATTTCCCCTGTCACTGTTGCTGAAATTCGTACTGCTATTAATGGGATTGGTGACCTTAAGAGTCCAGGCATTGATGGGTATGGTGGGAAATTTTTTAAGGCAAGTTGGAATATCATTGAGCAAGATGTTGTTGAAGCTGTTCAGGAATTCTTTGAGGAAAATGTGCTGTACAAAAGATTTAATGAAACTATTGTTACATTGATTCCTAAACATCCTGCTGCAAAAAGGATTAATGATTATAGGCCTATTGCAGGGTGCACAACTGTTTATAAAATCATATCTAAAATCCTCACTGCGCGACTTGGGAGAGTTTTGGGGACTATTATCAGTAAAACTCAGGCAGCTTTTGTTCCTGGCCAGAATATTCACTCTCATATTTTATTGGCAACGGAATTATTAAAAGATTACAATAGAAATAATGGTACGCCTAGATGCATGATCCAACTTGATATTCAAAAAGCATATGACATGGTTGACTAGGGTGCTCTTCGTAATATTCTCAATGAGATTGGGATGCCACAGAGATTTGTTGAATGGATCATGACTGCTGTTACTACAGTCTCTTACAGGTTTAATATCAATGGTAAGTTTTCTGATAAGGTGGTAGCAAGAAGGGGTGTTAGACAAGGAGATCCTTTGTCCCCCCTCCTGTTTGTAATTATTATGGAGTACCTTAATAGGCTGCTGTTCAGAATGCAGAGGAATCTGGATTTCAATCACCATGTCAGATGCGAAAGGCTGCAGCTCACCCATCTTACTTTTGCTGATGATCTCCTGCTGTTTTCTAGAGGTGATATTGTTTCTATAGAGATTATGCAGCGCACCGTCAATAGTTTTTTGGATTCAACAGGTATGAAGGTTAACCCTACCAAGAGTAAAGTTTACTTTGGTAGTGTATCAGATTCTGTTAAACAATCAATTCTGAATTTTACTGCTTACGACGAGGGGTCTCTCCCATTCAGATATCTTGGTGTCCCCGTGAGTAGTAAAAAGCTGTCTGTGGTCCATTATTTGCCGTTGATGGATAAACTGTTGTGTAGGATTACGCATTGGAGTTCTCGACTTCTTAGCTATGCCGGTAGATTACAGTTGATCAAATCTGTGTTGTATGCTATTACCTCATATTGGATGCAGTGTGTTTGCTTCCCTAAAACTGTGATTAGAAGAATCAATGCCATTTGTAGAACCTTTCTCTGGACAGGAGGTAACAGCAGTAGTCGAAAGAGTCTGATTGCGTGGGATAAGATTTGTAAACCTGCGGCAAAAGGAGGTTTGAATGTGCTGGATCTAGTGGTTTGGAATAGCATGTTTATGATGAAGTTACTCTGGAATATATCCATGAAAACCGATGATCTGTGGGTTCGGTGGATTCATGCTTATTACCTGAAGAATGAGGATGTTATGTATAGAATGGTTAAAAATTCAGATTCAATTATTTTTAAAACTATTCTGATGCAGAGGGAAAATATTGGCACTATGCAGGGGGATTGGAATGAGATGGTGCAAGCAGGGAGATTCATTGGTAGGCGAATGTATGCGAACTTATTGCCTGCCACACCTAAGGTTGCCTGGTCCAGGTTAATTCTCCACAATAGAGCTAGACCCCGTGCCATATATACTCTCTGGATGACCTGTCATGGAAAGCTAGCCACAAAAGTTAGATTGAATCGATTTGGCATGGTGGATAATAACCAATGTGTCTTCTGCCCTGCGGCGGAAACCATTGACCATCTATTTTTTGATTGTGCTACTTTGAGGAAGATTTGGGTTGAAATACTTCACTGGATTGGTATCCCTCACAATCCTGGGGATTGGACAGAGGAGCTAAACTGGATGCTGAATTGTTTTGGTGGTAAAGGTTGGAAAGCCGATCTTGTTAGATTAGCTCTGACTGAAACGGTACATGAGGTGTGGAGGTATGAGGTGTGGAGGTTTAGAAATGACACTTGTTTTAATCAGAGAAATGACAGTAGGAATTGTACAGATAGAATTATTAACAACATAGTCTATAGAGGGTGGTCGAGCCCTAAGCTTAGACCACATATAGCTCTCTTGATGGTTCAGTAGGTCTTTTTGTTTTGGGCTGGATTTTGATCGCCGTGTTTTGTTCTTGACTTTGGATTAATGATATTTTTGATTCAAAAAAAAAAAAAAAAATTAAAATCTAATATATATATATATATATATATATATATATATATATATATATATATATATATATATATATATATATATATATATATATATATATATATATATATATATATATATATATATATATATATATATATATATATATATATTACAACATTAATGTATAATAATTGATAATTTTGTTTTATAGTAAAATATGCAATATATTCTTAACAAAAATAATGCAAAATTTTATGTTATATAATGGATATAGTAGTTACTGATATTTCTCTTTCGATATTTATAAATTAATAATTTTTCTTTAAAAAAAAACATAATTTAATTTTAATACTAGCATTTAGTTTTTTATTTTAAAAAAAGTAAGACAAATAAAAATGACTCGTCAGATTTGTGTCTTCAAGATTATTATTTGGTTTAATAAAAGTGATTTAATTCACTTAATTATAATTTCTAAAAAAAATATGTAATGAAATTTTAAATAATTGATTGGTGATAAATTTTCTAAAAACACATAAGAAATGAAATTTGATTTGATTTGCTTTATTTTAAAAGTGATTTGATTTGCTTATTTTAAAAAAGAAAATCATTAAAATGTATATTAATAAATAAAAGTGATTTGATTTGCGTAATTGCAATTCTAAAAACACATAAGAAATGAAATTTGAAATGCTTAATTGCTGCGATAAATTTTCTAAATATAGATAAAAATTAAGTTGGTTGAATCCATTATACTAAAGATGGAAAAAAAATATTATTTTCCAATGACGTGATTATTGTGATAATTAAGAGGAAATTGAATGTATTTTATATAATATCATGAAACAATTATTGATGACTAATACGAGGAGTGCTATATCTATATATTGAGTCTAACTCTAGAATTTTAATCACTCTGAATTTTGAAAATGGCTAACTCATGGCATGCTATACTCTTTGTTGTATTTTTATTTTGTCTCCATTATACTTCAGCTTTAGACGAAACAGAAAGTATTGTTTCTATACAAACTGAAGTGCCTGAATCATCATCAGTGCATTATAATTGTGGCTTAGCAGGATCCTTTGTGGGAACTTCAGGATCTACATCTTTCATCAATGTTAACTTTTCCTCTAATCATGCATGTTTGGCTGTATGGAACAATTTACATTGTACGTTCAATGCACGAGATGTTGGATATGATCAAAATCAAAATTTTGTTTTTTGGTCAGTAAGATCAGACGGTTTTTATCATAGTTGGGATAAGAAAACATGGGTAAAAAGAGCTGATTGGTCTCAATAGTGAAGAATATAGTGTTATAAGTTTTTATATGATAATAATATTTTAAATTTTAAGTTTTTCTTATAATTTAATTATATTATGGTTTTGGTTAGATTCCTGTATAATTGTTTTAATTTTTTCGCTTCTTATTTTATGGTTAAGTTGAAATTTATAAATATTGTTTAGCTAGTGTTTGAGATCATGATTATTTATTGTCTCTAGCATTGCAGGTCAGTCCTCTCATGAATTAATTAGGTCGCCGAATTAGAAGCAATCACAATCAAGTGCAAAGATGTGTTGTGTTCGTACCTTTTCCCTAAATTTCCACATCTCTAATGTGTACAATTCCAAGTGATGGTTGGATCTAAAGATATTCATTGATATTTTGTTATGTGTCAGTAGAATAATACGTTTTTTAAATTAAACAACCTAATTAATATTTTAAAATAATCTTTTCGATTATTCACAATATTTAATGATTTTAATAATATGATTTTTGCTAGACAAAAAAGTAAAAAATAAGATGTTATTTTATTTATACCATTAAATCCATAGTATAAAATAATCATGGTGATTAATTATATAAATATATTGATATGATTATTAATTATTCTAACCATAATAATTATTCAATTTTAAAATGTTTTGCCAATACTAACAATAATATACTCATGAATAATCAATTTAGTTTTGTTGTCCATATCATTAGATAGAGTAAAATTGTTTTTTCTTTTAACTGGAGCTTTTCCGTAGTCCGATAATTTTTGGACACCTCAAAAGTCACGTGTGAAATAGGAGATGTAACATGGATCTCGAATCGGGTGGGGTGACCTAGGCCCAGTCGAGTAACTTGCAACAATTGTACAACTATATTGAAGTAAACAAAAAAAGCATCGTTCTGAGAGACCAAATCAATTACCAAATTCTTATACTCTTATGCTTATGTAAGACAATTGTTTTGAGATTATTATCAATATAAATCCTAAAAGTATAATACGTGACAACCCCCTATGATGTAAGGTTGTCATAGGTTTTTAGGGTTGTTGTGAGTGTTAGAGGAAACTCACATAGAGGTGTTGACAATCTTTATAACTCACATAAAAGTGTCGTTATTGTAACAAATTGAATGTCTCACGAAATATTAGGGGTAAGGTATTTATAAATATCCTTTAGGCCTAGATCTTAGGCTCTAAGAGAGTAATACCCACTCTTAAGATAAAAGAGTATACTCAACTTCCATATTATTCAGGACGGTGTGGTTTCTCCTTTTGACTCACTCTCTCATACCATTATAGAAAGGGAGACATCATTTCCCATGCTACTGGAGACGGGAGCGTAATCTAGTAAACAGGAATAGAACCCAACAGTGGGAAGGGTACTCAATGATTTTAATATGGAAACTATTGTCACATTATACCATAATGCTCTAACTATCTACGCTAATCTTCTGATGCAAAAAATGGGCTTTCGTACAAATTGGAGAAGATAGATATCAAAGTGTTCAAGATTGGGCTCAGTTTTGGTGTTGGTGAACAAAAGTCCCACTAAAGTTTTTGAGATGAGTTACAGGCTTAGACAAGGAGATCTATTATCTCCATTTCTTAAATCCAAAGGGAATCGAGGAAGAAGTTTGTTAGAGGTTATTAACAGAGTTAAAGTTTTGTAGGACTGCTAAGAGTTGGTTTGAACTTCAATTAGTAAGTTGGATTGTTAGTTAAAAGTGAGTTAGCAGTTAGAATGTTAGAGTGTGGGTCATGGTAAATTCGTAGGACTGCACTTGTCATAGAAATTTGAAACAAAAGGAAAATTCTCGTTATAACTTGTTATTTAGATAACTTCGTGTCTCAAATCCTAAATAATTCTATTTATTGTGGGTCTGCCATAACATCCTCGACAATTGCCCTAAAGAAATTATATTCATTACATGTCAGTCCTCTCATAACTTAATTAGGTCGCCGAATCAAAAACAATCACAATTAAGTGCAAAGATCGGTTGTGTTTGCAACTTTTCCCTAAATTTCCACATCTCTAATTTGTACAATTCTAAGTGATGGTTGGATCTAAAGATACTCATTGATATTTTGTTAGTGTATGTAGAATAATATGTGTTTTTTTTAATTAAACAGCCTAATTAATATTTTAAAATAATCTTTTTGATTATTCACTATATTTAATAATATGATTTTTGCTAGACAAAAAAGTAAAAAATAAAATGTTATTTTATTTATACCATTAATCAATAGTATAAAATAATCATGGTGATTAATTATATAAATATAATGATATGATTATTAATTATTCTAACCAAAATAATTATTCAATTTTAACCAAGATGTTTTGCCAATACTAACAATAATATATTCATGAATAATCAATTTAGTTTTGTTGTCCATATCATTAGATAGAGTAAAATTATTTTTCCCTTTAACTGCAGCCTTTCAGTAGTTCGATAATTTTTGGACACCTCAAAAGTCATGTATGAAATAGGAGAAGAACATGTATCTTGAATCGGGTGGGGCGACTTAGTCCCAGTCGGGTAACTTGCAACAACTATACAACTATATTGAAGTAAACAAAAAAGTATTGGAGAGACCAAATCAATTACCAAATTCCAATACTCTTATGCTTATGTAAGACAATTGTTTTGAGATTATTATCAATATAAATCGTAAAAGTATAATACGTGATAACCCCCTATGATGTAGGACTGTCATAGGTTTTTATGGTTGTTGCGGGTGTTACAGCAAACTCACATAGAGGTGTTGACAATCTTTGTAAGTGTTGTTATTGTAACGAATTGAATGTCTCACTAAACCTTAGGGGTAAGGTATTTATAAATATCCTTTAGGCCTAGATCTTAGACTCTAAGAGAGTAATACCCACTCTTAAGATAAAAGAGTATACCCGCTTCTTATTTCATGGTTAAGTTGAAATTTATAAATGTTGTTTAGCTAGTGTTTGAGACCATGATTATTCATTGTCTCGGTTAAATTCTTATATTACTGCTTTTATAGAGTGTTGTGACCCGAGTGTGTGGCGAATTGAATTACCTTGTTATAAACTAATGAGTTATTTGCTTTTACAATTTTTATAATATTAAAGATTTATTTGTTTGATCTTGAGACACTTCTCCAAGTTCAATTATCTAAGATATATAAGTGAGAATCAACTATATACCTTTTCAACTTATAATTGATTTCCAAATTGTTCATACTTTATAGCAAACTTAATTATTTAAAATAGAAATTTGAAACAAAAGGAAAATTCTCGTTATAACTTGTTATTTAGATAATCTTCGTGTCTCAAATCCTAAATAACTCTATTTATTGTGAGTACGCCATAACATCCTCGACAATTGCCCTAAAGAAATTATATTCATTTTTGATACTTCTCAGCATACGAGTACTCTCATCTTAATGATCACAAAGGATCTCAACTACAGGCACAATCAACAGTTCTTAGTAAATTACTCTAAACAAATAGGGAGTTTGTTATTTCCTCTACGATTTAGAGAAGGATCCAAATCTATGTGAAAAGTTTCGAATTCAAATTTAACTCTCTTCTTTCACATGTCTAATTTGTACAATTCCAAGTGATGGTTGGATCTAAAGATACTCATTGATATTTTGTTATGTGTCAGTAGAATAATACGTTTTT